GTGTGACTCCAGTGATGCGGTCTTTTAAGAAACGAGTTCTTGATGGTCACAAGTGTCAACTGATTGGATGGTTTAAATCCATTCTTGGTGTTTTTATGCGTTTTTTGCATTTATGCAACATTGTTGAGAGGTTGTCTGTGTGTATGTATTTATGTCTGTGTGTGCGTCTGTAACGAGTTTTCATCTCGGGATCCACAAAAGCTACAAGACTGAAACTTTGGCAACTTAATCTAAACGTACGTGGGAGCTCCTACTCTCAAAATGGACGCTCCTTTCCACGCGTTTTTTACATGCGAGCACGTGAAATTTTTTTAGCGGAAGGGCGTTTTCGGGGACGGTACAAGCTAGGAGGCTGGCACTTCACTGAGATTTTCCTTGGCCGCGTCTAATCCAAAGATTTCAAATTCAGCCTTCTCGCACCCCTAGATCTCACGTACGCACATGTCCGAGTCTAAACTGTCATCGCGCCAACTCCAAATTTAAACTGACTAAGGAGTTATAGAGAGCTGCAATTTTGCAGAGCTACTTGTTGCCCAGTGTTGTGCTCATGAAAGTAAATTGATTTCCCCAGCCCTTCTGGGTTTCACATACGGACACGTGAAAACTTTAGTATAAACTTTTGTAGCTCCAGAATTGAAGCAGCTAGAGGGCTGGAGCTTTCTGAGCATGATCGACCGTGACCTTTGACCATATGGGCGCAAAAACGACTTGCACATCACTTTCACATCTCATGTACACGCACGTGAAATTTGGCATAACTCCGCAATCTGAGCAGCTGGAGTACTGAAATTTTCTGAGCGTTGCCCAGGACCGTGTTTGAGCAATTGCACGCGATACGAACACGTTAAATTTGACGCAACTCCGCAACCGGAGCATCTAGAGTGCCAGGTTTTTCGGGCATGGATTGGAAGTCATTGTAATAATTTCTGACAGTCGTGGTAACTACTCTCAATTCTCTTAGAAGCATATCCCGGAAGAAACAATGCCATTTGCAACAAAAACCTGCGGGGGAATTATGCAAAAAATACGTCTTCGCACCGACAGCCTGTGCGCTTTCGATTAATTTGTTCTGTAATTTGCTTTAGAAGCGCATGGGTGAGCGC